TTGCAAACAATTGTGTCTAGCAGTTTATTTGCAACTGATTCATAAGGATTTGAGATTGATTCATTCCCCGCATCACATGACTCATATGACCATAAATCCATTTTCTTAAAAATTATATTTGTACCCTTTTTGTATCCTCGTGTCGTTTAGGGAAGATTATTTAAAAATCATCAATATATGAAACAACACATGTTTAAAATAACATAATACATTGTTTAGTACAAATAAGAGGACTATATAAAGTCATTTTTTTTTTTAAATAGGTTTGTACCCTCTTTGTGCCCTTATAATATTCAAGAAAAGTCATTGAAATGCCTTCAATATATAGAATAAAACATGCTTTAAATATTTCAAACATTCTTTGAGAAAATTAGAGGACTATATAACATCTTATTTCAAAAAATAGGTTTGCACCCTCTTTGTACTTTTAAGCTTAAAGGACAAAGGTCATTGAAAAATCATCAAAACATAGAACAAAACATTCTTAAAATAGCTAAACGCATTGCTTAAAAAAAAAAAAAAGAAGATGACTACATAAGATCGAAGATGACTACATAAGATCTAGATGACTACATAAGATCTTTTTTTTTAAAAAAAAGAAAATTTGTGCCTTCTTTATATTCTCATACTGATCAAACAAAGGTCATTGAAAAATAATTAATATATGGAACAAAAGATGCTTAAAATATTTTAATAAATTGTTAAAAAAAGTAGATGATTACTTTATTGTATTTTTTTTGAAAAAAAAAATTGTATCCTTATCTTGATTAAGCAAAGGTGATTGAAAAATCATTAATATATGCAACAAAATATGCTTATAATATCTTAGCACATTGTTTAAAAGAGAAATAATGACTAAATAATGTATTTCCTTGAAAAAAATGTTGTACACTCTTTATAGGGCTGTCAAAAAAGTTTGTTGTTCGAGAATAACTTATGTTCAGATTGATAAATAGCTCATGTTTGATTCGTTCGTTAATCAAGAGCCAAAAAAAAAAAGTTCGATTATTTAACAAGCTGAACATGAATAAATGTTTGTATGTTCATGTTCGACTCGTTTTTACTTGAAATACTTAATTAAACAAACAAAAATATTTATTTATATCTTTTTATATTAATTTTTTATATGTACTAAATAAACTAAACTTTATTATTTTTAAAATTTATTTGGGTTGCATAATTATTGATGTGTGGAGTGGTCACGACTTCGATGAAAATGACAGTATTGTTCTTGATTTCCTGAGTTAGGTTTTAGGGGGTGAGGCCACTTAACGGTTTGCTCATCTTTGATAGCCATTAAGACGTTAGCACGTGATCGTTAGCTAAGACGTTAGCACGTGATGTGTTGAGTGGTGTATACTCTTTCTTAGTTTGATAGTCAATTCGTTGGCCTACAACTTGAGGAAGGAGTCCGCGATTCCTCTGTTGTTCGGACTTTCTTTGTTGCGAAGATTGATTATTATCTCCAGTGTTATTCTTGCGCTTTCCTCCAAATTTCTCAAACTACTATTTATGCGCGTTGATGGCCTCATCCGCAGTGATTTGGGTCTCAACACGGTGGACAAGTACAGCATAGCGTAAGAACAAACTGTCTCCTGCATCAGTGATGAGTAAAAAGGTCCTGGGCAGAGCCCCCCAAGGAAGTCATGATCATTATTGATAGTTCGATAATGATAAATATGCTTGTAAGGGTCGGTTGTCCCTTCATATGTATCGATGTTCAGAAGCTTAAAGTTCGTTAGGATGGGGTGTTGGAGGACCGCATCCGTTAAGGAAGAAGATTCATGGATGTTATGGTGAGCGTATAAACAATCCTTTTTCTCTAAGGGGAACTCTTCCTGGACGAGGCGTCGTAGTTCGTTATGAATGACGTTATCTGGAATGGCAGCAAGATGTGGCGATGTTGGGTGAGCAACACAAGATGGATGAGTGGAACTTGCGGTATCTAGGAGTTCAGCATCACGACCTGACAGGGGATGTGTTACTTCTTGAGGAGGCGGGTCGGCATGAGTTCCTCCGCGCGGTATGTGTCTTGGACGTCCCGATACGTACGTCGCATAGTTAATTGTAAACGAATTTCATTCAATGGTGTAGGCAGCGGTTGTTGAGCCCCACGTAGGAGTTGTAGGATCTCTAGTTGACTTCTCCATTCTACGCATTCGATCTTCTATTGAAGGACCCGAAACACCTTCATTGGCGGGATAACATCTTCTAGAGCGAGAAGATGAAGAAGCATGTCGCCCTTGGCTTCGTAACTGCTCCCTGGTACGATGGGTGTTGGAGCGGGATGCTCCATTATCACGAACATTGTGTCTGGTGGCCATGTAGTAGACTGCGTAAGTGCTTTAGTTGTGGGATTGAAAGGTTCCCACGGACGACGCCAAACTGATCCGTGCTAGAAAATCCACGGCGGTAGAGTAATGGATTATCGTCTTAGCGTTCCGCGAGGATTCAACACACACTTAAGTGAAAATTATTCAAGCTGTGATAACACCATAAGTTTTTATGTGGAAAACCCGTAGAGGGGAAAAACCACGGGGCCTGATCAAGTTGTAAAAATCCACTATAAGTTGATGATTACAGATGCCTCTTGTCCCACAAGCGGGAAATAGTTACTAGCTTTCCAAGTTACAACGTTGACTGACGACATCTAGTTAGCGGTGGTTGACGGAGGGCGGTGGTGATCTACGTTAGTCGACGACAATCGAGGACGGTCGGAGTTGGTCGACGAAGTTCAGCGGTTGCTGGCGGCTGTCGATGACGGTCAACGGTGGTCGACAGAGGTCGGTGGTGGATGTCGATGGTCAGTGGTGGTCGACGGCGATCGACGATGACGAGGATGATCTCGGACTTGAGCTCATTCTCAAAGCCTCAAGTTCTCTCTTAAGCTTCCTTCTTCATGTGAGAGGTGAGACTCTATTTATAGTGTTTTGAGTGCAATTAATGCAGGAATATGAACCATTTTGATCGGAAGGTCTGGAGAGCTTCCCTTGATCAAAAGACGTTTGATGGACATTTGAGTGCCTTAACATTGTCTGAACTGAGCAATCTTTTGAGCAATCTTGAGCTCTTGGATTTGTCTTTTTGAGACGCTCGATTCGACTATGAACTCGTTAGATTCGACATCCGTCTGACCTTTCAAATGTCTCCAAAAATCCTCCAATAGTGGTTTAATGACTTGATCCAGGCTTGATTTGACTCGGATTATACTAACTTTCATATCATTAGGTCCGTCTTATTGAGCCGATCAATTTGACTATAAATTTGCTGAAATCGGAGCTCCAGATGACTCTTAATCAAAGTTTGAATGTTTCGTGTTCAAAAAATTGCATCGAGATTTGTGCCGGATGATGAAAATTTGTTCGTGGCATATCACTTTCTATGGTTGGTATTGTTGGCAATTATTAAAAAAAAATATAAATTCTAGACATATAAAGGGAAAAACCATGGGTTCTGACACAACTGAAGAAATACACTATAAACTAAAGATTATAAATACGATCTATTGTTCTACTTGCGAGAAATGATTACACAATCTTCCGATCTACAAAGTCGATGAGTATATGAACTTGTTGTAAGAAGCAGTCAATGAGTGATGGTGGGCGACTGGTGGTCGATAATTGACAGCTGATGACTGGTGGTCGGCGACGATCGGCGACTGATGGTTGGCGACGATCAACAACAAGGTGATGCTAGACTTTAGCTCCTTATTCAAACTTCAAGCTCTCTTTCTCCTCATGAAAGGGGTGGAGCTCTATTTATGGAGTTCCAGTTGCAATTAATGAAGAATATGAACCACAAAGATCAGACAACTCATAGAAATTCCCTCGATTAGATGACGTTTAATGGACATTTGAGTGCCATAATAATGTCATAATTAAGTGATCATGAGCTCGTTGGATTTGTTTTCAACTATAAGCTCTTTGGAGTCAACGTTCATTTGACATTCCAAATGTATTCAGAAAGCTTCCAAATGTAGTTTAATGACTTGATCGAGATTCAATTTGACTCTAATTGTACCAATTTTGGTATCATTTGGTCCATCTCATCGAGCTAATTAGTTTGATTGTAAGTTTGCTAAAGGCAAACATTTGGATGATTTATTATCAAAGCCTGAACATTCTTTGCTCAAAATATTACCTCAAAATCCGTGCAATGTCTCGAGATTCACGCTGGATGATGAGAATTTGTTGATGGTATATCAATACTTAAATTAGCATAACATATTGTTTAAAAGAGAAATAAAAACTAAATATAAAAAAGATATTTACTTGAAAAAAAATATACCCTCTCCACACCATCATCTTGATTAAGCAAAAACAACATTTTAAAACTATCAATATGTGGAACAAAAAACTAGGGTTTGAAGCTCCTTTATTTTTATTTTAGCTTATATCATAATCTAGGGTTGGAGTGAAATTTACCAATCAGTTAAATCATTAAATCATTAAGTTTACTCTTATTAACACATTGTTGACTTTTCATCTTCAAGGTATCACTCCGTCCATCATTGGCCACTTCTTCTTTCTTTCGCTTGATTATTCTAAAAATATATTTTCGAAAGATTTCTTCATTAAAAAATAAACCTTAATTCTTTCAAAAACTTCCTCTTATCATAGAATGTAAATTTGCAAATATGTGTACTTATATGTTATTGAAGTCCCAAATATAATATACACATTTGGACCTTACAATATTTTTACACCGGCAGGCCTTGCAGCTCGGCGAGCCTCCTTCGGGAGAAAATTTGCGTACGATAGACGTATGCTACATTACATGTGATTTCGAGGTTATAGGGAGGTTATAAGCGGTTTATACCTATGTTTTAACCCTTTAACCTCTATGTAACATAGTGTAAGCTATTTGTAACATACAAATAAATTTCACGCTTCTATTATCATATATAGAATAGGTTATAAATAAATTAAAGATAATTATATAAAAGTTTTAAGAGGTTATAAGACAGATATAACCTCTTATACTCTCCCTACACCTCGAAATCGAAAGCAGCCCTGCGTACGGTACGCAAATTTTTTCCCCTCCTCGACTATAGAACAGGAGGACGCGAGGTTTTCGCTTTCCTGCCAGCGTCTTGTTTATCGGTTTCAGCAGATCATGCTTCACGATGAGGTTTGTGGTTTTTCTCCTCCTTGCCTGTGCAATACATGCTGTGAAATTGAAGCGGAATTCTAAAACCGAAATTCGTGCGATCGTTTCGCTGAACATTGTCGTTGGACTTCTTTGCTTCTCTTTTACTCTCTCTTGTTTATGGGATGTGGGCCATGGCAGCGTTGAAAGTTCATGATTTCCCCTATACATGACACATTTATGCATGATTGAATGTTGTGGGTGCCACTCGCCGCTCAAGAGTTGTGGCCAGTTTAGGTTTTAAAATGTTGCCCGGCATTAGTTTCTAGCGGTTTATTTGTATAGTACATCGGGATTTTATTATAGCCAGTATTTCTTATTGAGAATCCTTAACGGAATTGCAATCAAAGTTATGCTTGAAGTTGTCGAAACCACGAGCTCGTGTGAATTAGATGTACTCTTGCACATACTTATGTGCAGGCGAGGACTTCTCACGTTTAATCCTTGATGCATTGTTGGGCTGATACATGTGATATGACATTATGTGGTTGTCTTCCTCCCTGAGAGTTTCTCAGAAGAAGCTGACCCTTTACTTATTACATGTTTAAGGCACAATTGCTTAGAACACGATAATTCTGCGTTTCACTTTATCTACCTCTTGCATGCTTGGTTGCTGCTGCTTGTTCTAGAACATTATTTCATCAAATCTGTTACCATCCCTGCAATGAGTTAATGATTTCCTTAATTAGAAAACCAAGCAGAAATGAAGGGGTGGCTGCATTCACTAGCAGGCATAAGCCGAAGCCACGTGACTTGTTAGACAAACTGTTTTGTCTTCATCTCATGCCTTGAAGAACTTGTGGGGATCTCATGTTTCAAAGATCCCTTGAAGGTCCTGTGAAGATCCTACTTGCATGTTGCAGCTTTGCTCATTCTCTTGTTTTCTCCTCCATTACCAGCTTGCCAACTTTCAACGGCTTTGTGCTCTCACGATTGCTTCACCCAATAGCTCCCGCTTAACCTTCTCTCTTACTTCTACTTTGACCAGTCAAGCCCGCTCTCCTCGCTTGCCCACTTCATTGCTACTACTTGATGTGCGGTATGGTGACAATGTGCTACTTCACCATTCTTGCTCAATCTCTTTTTCAATAAGGACCCATGCTTAGCTTGAAGTTAAAATTTCTTTGGTTTATACATGGATTAACTTATGAGACTTATTGTAAAACAGATGTCAAGACGAATATATGATATATATATTAGTATTCCAATTAATTTTTAAAGTGTGCATGATCTCTTTGTTTTCTTTGTATTTCATTCCTTACATGGCCTTTATAAATTAATCAAAATCCTGTTGATGATTATTTAATATCATATGATGTTTTATTAATTGTACATCTTATTTTTTATGAAATAGCTATTGAATTTTGGTGGGCGATCCATATAAAACTCTTTAATATTCCCGTGTAGACAGTTATTTTAATGTGTAGACCTTGTTGTTTATCATGTAAAGCTTCAACCTATCTTATGTTTTATTGAGAAACTCACTTGCATCTGATAGATTTTCTTTCCTTTGGGTAGCTCAATGATTTCTAAGATATGATTTTTTCTAGGCAATTAATTTCTTCTTTTATGGCATCCTTCTAATTCTTAACAAATAAGATTTATGAAATTTTAATGGCGTTTGAGCTGATATTTGTAAGAAAGGTTTTATGTAGGAGAAAAAATTTGAAAGGACATGTGCAGGGATATGGGGTAAGAGGAGGCTTTTTGATGATAGATTGATCATTGTTATGGAAGTTACTTAACAATGGCTTTGGGTTGAGCTTGTTGAAGACATTGGATTGGTTTTTTTCTCTTGTATAGATTTATAGAGATGTAGTGATAGGAGCAAGCTATTGTGTTGTTATAGATAAGCTCTCATGGAAAAAGATATTAAGCCCTTCTTTTTTTTTTTTCAATTTTTTTGTTCTCGCATTGGAGACAAATTTGAGTGAAGAAATTTTATTTTTCATAAAAAATGATATCTTTTGTAGTGAATAAATTTTTTATGTCTGGATGATAAATTTACACCAATAAAATTAGATGGATGTCCACAAAAGATGTACGATACTGTATGATCAACTTTATCCTAATGTTATTTGTGGATGTTGTCATACAAATATTTGTTGGAGGAAGTTTTATGAAAAACATGTTTGTAGTAAAAAATTCAGTAAGATAATTCAAGTGACTTTTGAAAGCAGTCACGCTTGAGTGTGCTATATTAATGAAGTATGTAGAGGCTAAAGAACTTCCCAACATTTTGTTAGAAAATTAATTTGGAATAGAAGAGTCATTGTGGCTTTCAGGAGGTGCCGATTTTTTTTCTTCCAATCCCCTTTTGTTATGAGATGTCAGGTAGGAGGATTAGTGAATTGTACCTTTTTTTTATTAAAAAAAGATATAATTGGACTAAAATAATCTTAAGTATTATCAATCTTATATATTTTTTTTAATTTTAATGTTTAGTTTTTTTTTATAGAGATAGATATTGAAACAATATGATTGGCATTAAATTTTTATTTGATAAGATGAACTTATGTCATTTGATTGCGATCAATAGTGAATACAACATTCTCCAAGATTCACAAATACTAAGAATTTTTCAAGATTCACAAATATAAGAGTGAATTATCAGACAAGGATTAGAGGATCTAGTTTTCCTTTCAGAAAAATGAATTTTATGATATTTTGTAATTTGTTAAGTTTCACAATGAAAATTTTTAATATTAACATTTATAAAATAAAAAGAAAAATACATGGAACAATTTTAAAAGAGGGATGTCTTAATCTATAGTGATGGTCCCAAATGATACTTTTATTTAGAGTGTTAATAAAGGATCATGATACGTGGCTACTCCCGCCAAGTAGATATCTCTAGCTTGCTTAATGTTATATATGCAGTGTAAAAAATGTCATATTGTAGTTTGTGCTCTTTTGTGAGGTTGTGAATAAGTTCTGCTCGGTTAGGAACATGTAACACATTATTGAAACTAAATATAGGAGAAATATTAATATTTTTTTGAACTGCAATTGTGATTAGCGATTTATTTTTTATTTTTTATTACTGGGATAAGGATTTTGAAAAGTATTCACAAAATTGGCTATTTGATTGGTGGCTCTTGGCTATGTGATTGGTGGCTCTTGGCTATGTGATTGGTGGCTTTTGAATCCATTATTCAGGTTTCAGAGAAACTACTTTAGACATTAAAAGTACAAGAGTTTGAATATTTACTATTTTGAGGTTGAAAGTATGATTGTAGCATTGTTTTTAGAGAATTAAGAAACATTTTTAGCTCATCAGCTCCTTCTAAGTTAAGCCCTTTTGGTTTAATGAGGTAAGTTTTCCTTTTTGATTAACTTGATTTGTTTTTAATATTTATCTTTGATATGCCCCTTTTTTGTAGTAATTGCATTACTTATTGCTTTTTCAGAAAGAATATCTTCCTTTTTTTTGGGAAGATTTTGGGTCAATAAGTCCCTTATCTTGAGTTTCTATAGTTATCATTTCAGAGTTAGGCTCTCCACTCAAGATTTGAATGTGAACTTGGTCGAATTCATCATCATGTCCTGCAAGAAATTCAACCCTTTCTCTTTCTACTTTTGCTTGAGAATCATATCGTTATCACTATATTTTATCTCGAGAACTTTGTAGTAATCTAGCTCTAATTGATGAATCTTCATCGTATTGAAATATTCGATGGAAAAAAGGCTGCATTGCTTGGTTGTTAAGAGCTTCGTCTCGATCTAGTAGATGAGAGTATCATCTTTGAGTAAGCTTATTTGACAGCCTCCCAAATTTTGTTTGAGGTTATTTGGATTACTTATGGTATACTGATTTAAGGCATCATGGTGTTCGGTAACTATGATATAATCATGGAATCTATTTTATTCCAAAGTGCAAAACTTTGGGTCTTTTAGATTTGTAGGAGGATAAACAAGATTGTGGATTTCTCATTTTTCTTTCAAAAAGATCTTTACAATTTGAGATTACTTGAGATAGTTTTTTTTATTCAAATGATATGAGATTTGTACTATTTGGATTCATCCTTTAGTCAAATTTTGACCATTCATGATGGTTTAATTTAGATTTGTACTATTTGGATTCATCCTTTAGTCAAATTTTGATCATTCATGATGGTTTAATTTTGGAAGGAAAGTTTAAAAAATCAATAGGAGAATTAGACTGAAATCGAGGGAAAAACAAATGTTGGAAGGAGGATCCTAACTTTACTCTTATATCATAGAGAAAAGAAATGACTGAAAAATTTGATTTGTTTATTCCTTGAACCAGTATTTATACATATAGCTACCTAGAGTATAAATAAAAACCACGCAGTTCTTGACAATGACTTCCTTGCATGTCTTATTAGTTGTCCGCCTCTTGTCGCCTTTCTATTCTGTCAGTGGGAGCAATCTGTGGCTCTCCTCTTTTCTTGTTTGTACAAGGACTCATGGTACATGCATTCCTTTATTTAGCACATGAATTCATGGGTCATTCACCTTCCCTATCGCAATCCCTTCCAACATTTACATCAATGCCTTATTCAATTGTTGTGTGTGAATATGAAAATTGTTAAAGCTTGTTTTATTTACGACCTTTACGGTAACAATGGCTCGATGATTTGAGAAATATCAGATTTTTTTAAACTATTTTTATTTTTTTTGTCTGCAGGGTCTACAAATTGAAGGGCTTCCTCTGTATAAACATATCCAGAGGAATGAATTCTCATACCGGAAGTAAATTCTTGATCTGTATGCATATATTTTCTTTTTCAAGCTTTTTAGCTGTTGTGCGAGAGTAAGTAAATGCGCATCCCTTTGCGCTGGCCTTGTAAAAATAAATAAATAAATGAAGTGATCTGACTAAAAAATTCATTTTATTATTCACTTCTATTGATATTTCTATATTATAACTTTGCTCTCTGATGGAAAACTTTTCAGTTATTTTTCTCCAGAATATAATATTGATGCATTACATGCTTTTTTTTTTCAGGGAGTTTTTTACATGGTAAAGTTAAATTCCAGTATTCTATAAATTCCATTTTTGTTCCGATAATTTTTATGCTTGCATTTTTCCATAGTCGTCTTCTCTGTTAAAACTCATTGATAATTAATCTTTTATTCCTTCGTGCTATAAAGGTTACTTTTTACCTTCGAAGGGGAATAATATGGAGATTTATATTCATGCTTCAAAATTCATATTTGCTTACATATCTAACATCTAAATTTGATGGTTACAATAATACCACTTTGTCCATGCATGCAAAGGTGTATTTCACTTTTAAAATTTAGTAATTGAAAGATTGGAGTGTTACAAATGTAAAAATCAAAGTTTAGGCATTAGATATGTAAATTCAGAAGAATTTTGTAGTATGCATGTAAATGCTCATCTATATATATATATATATATGAGATCATGAGATCCAGAAAGTAGATAGAAAGTAGATAAAGTTGAATTTGTTAGTGCTTTAGAGAATAAAATTCCTTTACCGAGCAGTACAATGACTGAATATGTGGTTCTCTTGTAGAAAAGCATGGGGAGATGATGAAATTACTAGTAGAACTAAAGTTCCGAGGCTAAAATTACTGTTGTCTTAGGGAAGTCGGTGCTCAATTAGATGGCCAGGCAAGGTGAGGCATTAATGTCTTGTGCTCCTCTCAATGGGTGCCTTTAACAAGGCATGTCCAAGCCATCATAATAGTTTGGGATACATATTGTTTTTGACTGAAATATGAGTGCTAATATTGTCAATGTTGCTGATGATAGACTTCGATGATTATAACTTGATAATGGATGTTGTGAAAATAGCATCAAAAGCTAAGGAAGCAAGGATTCACAGGCAAATTAACAAGGCTTTAAATTCACTGAGAGAAGAGAGCATTGTTGATGATGAAAATGTAATAGATAGAGTGAAAATTAGATTATCCCTAGGATATGCATTCTTAAGTAGTTGTTTAATTGTATTTATTCAGATAAATTATTCTATAAGAATTTTAAATTTGGAATGCAATGGAACTTAAACATATATTCATTAAATTTTTTCAACATAATTTCAATTGATTAATCAGAAAATTTGTTGATGCGGGAGCTATCTTGTGCGTGATTCTGTGTTTCGTGGATTGTGCAATTAATGACCTCGCATATGTGAGATGAGCAGGAGACCGGATTTCCCTTCCTATATGTGCGATAACGGGATTTACCCACTAATTCTTTACTACCAAACCACTGTGTGCCCAAATTGTATGTTTTTTTAATTTGAATTAGGGTATTTTGATAGGGAAATATTCATATATTGCTGTTTTTGTTAGAAGTAATTAGTGTTTATTTCTTTCTTTTTCATATATTTCCTAGTTTATGTATTTTCTTATTTATGTATTTTCTTATTTATGTATTTCCTAGTTTATGACTTTCCTTTTATCTCTAGATAGTTATTAGTAATTAATTTAATATTAGAGATTTGGGTGTTATGTCTTTCTTGTTTTATAACTTTTGTATCCTGTATTTATACTTTTTTTGATATCAATAAAATTATTCTGCATAGTTCCAACATGGTATCAGGGCCAAGGGATCTTACCCTAGCCGTTAGGATTCTTCTCCAGTTGCTAGTATTGTCATCTGCTGGTCTATAGCTATTGTTCCTTCCCTTTTCTAGCTGTCGGACGCCCTTACTGCACCTTGACTCCCCTTCGCATCATCCCAAGGCCAACAATCGGTCGCTTGCCTACAACCAACACCCTTTTCTGTTGCCGGAAATCTTCCCTCAGGTCTTCTCGAGCCATGGTTCTTACCAAGAACCATAGGATCTCCGTTTTTTCCGGCTAGAATTCCTTTCCTACAACCTGACCGACATCCTGCCTATTAAACCTCTTTTTTTGGGTTGGAATTTCTTCCCTGCAGTCCTAGTTTGATGATATCCTTGCAAGGAATCCTCTTCTTCCATGTTTGGGCATCCCAACCTCCCATTTGTCTTTAATTGGAGCCATGGTTAATGCCTCTACCATCGAGCTTCAGTCTGACACGGTTCTTGAATCTACCAGTGGATCGACATCAACCTCAATCTACATGAATTTTTTGATTGCCACCCATAAACTCAACGCCTTTAATTTTCTCCAATTGTCGCAAGTTGTGTCATTGTTCGTGAAAGATCGTGGTAAATTCGGTCATCTCACAATAATGATTCATGAACCTCTGAAGGCCGACCTAGCATATGCAGCATGGGAAGTGGAGAACTCCAAGGTCATGTCATGGCTGATTAATTCTACGGAGACATCGATTGACCGTTCATATATGTTTATTTTGTTTGCAAGTGTTCTTTAGACTGCCGTTCATGACACCTACTCAGATATAGGTAATTTTGGACAATTCTATGAGGTTTTTAAGAAGATCTGTGAGGTGAAATAGGGATTGAAGACGGTGACCCAGTACCACAACAACTTGGTTACATTTATTGATGAAATGTGACATTTACTATGATTACACTTGAGACTCTCCTGTAGATATTTCCATCTTTCAAAAATAATTGAAAAAATATTGCGTGTTCCAATTCTTAACATAACAAGGATCTCACTGAATTCCACGACCATATACTTAGATGTGATCCTCTCTTTTCAACTCAGGCAGCATTCACCGAGATTCGCTGTGAAGAAAGCTCGAGACTTGTCATGCTCGACAACTCCACTTCTTCAGTCGAGCCTTCAACCTTGGTCTCCAACAATACTCCACACTCGGCCACGCCGTTGCGAGCCACTCACGCCACTAAAAATCGACAAATAAGTCTTCGGTCGTAAATGTCTCATTATGACCTTAGAATCTGTAATAGTTTAGCCGACGCCTACGTGGACCATATCCGAATCTACAGACGCCATCAAGAGTTAGATGGAACACTTGATTAAACTGTTAGGGTCTAGTTAGATCTCATCCGACTATCAACCTCTCATGTTTGCCGATGTAACATCTTTATGACACTCGCTGGTCTTCTAGCCCATGAATTATTGATTCGAGTGCCACGAGCCACATGATCAGGGGTTCTCATTTCTTCTTGGCCTATTCTTTTTGCTACGGGCGAGATACTATTAAAATTTCCGATGACTCTTTTAATTGCGGGTAAAAGATCAGTTTTAATTACAATAGGGTTGACTTTAGAATCCTGTTACACATTCCTTTACATTAGTGCAACCTCTAGTTGGTTAGTAAGTCAACATGTGATCTTGATTGCGTTGCTCAAATTTTCTCTTTTTTTTGTATTTTTCATGATCGTCGTTCTGGGAGGATGATTGAAACTTTTAAACGGGTAGCTGGACTCTATTTTTTCTAAGTAAATGACATAGATGACATCGACATTCAGTTTCGTAGTTATATTTTTTCTCTTTCTATTGCATGCCCTATCATGCCTTTACATTGTTGTTTGAGTCATCCCATTTTTTGTTATTTAAAACATTTGCACCCCTGGATGTTTATTGATAAAAATTTATTTTCTTTTAAATGGAAATTTTTTCAGTTCGTCAAACATCAACGTGTGTCATATTCATCTCATCTTTACACGCTTTCCTCTTATTTTTCACTTATTCATAGTGATTTATGAGGAACTTCTCGAACTGTGAGCTTGACCAACGAATGTTGATTTCTTACTCTAATTGATGACCACATTCGGATGTCTTGGGTCTATACTTTAAAAGATAAATCTAAAGTTACTATCATTTTAAAAAAAAATTCACTCTTTCATTTTAACCCAATTCAAAATAAATGTTGAAGTTTTTCGGACAAACAATGACCGTGAATGCTTTAACTTTATATTGGGAGGATTCTTGGTGAGTAAGGGCATCCTCCATCATAGTTCCTGTATGACTACCCTTCAACAAAATGGGATAACCGTGTGAAAAAATAGACTGATCGTTCAATTATGTTTCAAGCCAATGTTCATAAATGGTTTTGGATGCCATCCTCACTGCCAACTACCTCATTAATAGAGTTCCTACAACAATCACAAATTTCAGACCTTATCATCCACCTTGATGTCATTTTTTTCTATCAACCGATTTTTCTCCTTGTCAGACTCCAAGATATTTGGCTGCATGACCTTTGTTCGAAACACATACCCAACTTGTAGTAAACTTGATCCCCGCTCAATCAAATGTGTCTTCCTTGGCTATTTCGCCACTCAAAAAAGCTACCAGTGTCTGGATCCTACCACTAATAAAATCTATTTTAGCTGCCTCAAGTGAGGGGGCTTTGTTTTTTGGAAATTGTTCCTCTTCCGACTGAGTTAGACATTTCTGCTACGACCACCGTGTCTGGTGCACCTTCAGCACCAATGGATTCGCCACACACCAGGCCAACATCACCACCACCCTCTATCCGGGTCTATACCCATCGTCCAAAACCCTGTTGAAACTCGTCTCAATGCCCCTATCATCGAGCCCACCGCTCCGTTGCGGGTTTTGGAATCCACTCCAACCGACATCCTTAGAAAGATTCCTTCTCCGCCTACAGGGGTCACTCGTGATCCGAGTGAAGATATGGATCTCCCTATTGAGGTATGCAAACATATACCGTTAGAAACTCTGTATCCTCTGATGAAATACTTCTCGTTTTACAGTTTTTCTCCAAACTAAAAAGCATTTACTACTTTTGTGATAGATCATTGTCTTCCATCCACTATAAAAGTTGCTTTTGACTAACTTGCCCTGGAATGTTGCTGTCGTGGATGAGATGAATGCTCTTCGGCGTAACCATACTT